ATTTAGTCATGTGGTATTTGTGCAACACTGGTTACACTAAGGGGCGCCAAATTCAACAAAGAGTGCAGTCTTCAGTACTTGGCCTCTGGCATCCCCTAGCTAAGAAATAAGGTACTGACATACTGAAGTCAAACACATGTAATGCAGTGGTCTGAAAATTGCTTCATGCTGTCTTTACAGTTTGTTCTGCTACAAGTAACTTTTTTAAAGGTAGTTCATCATTATTTAACACAAGGTTGTACAACGAAATAGAGTAAATGATGAGAATCTTTATATAGAATTAGATTTTTTTTTATCAAATTATAGAATTTTAGGTTGTAACTGCTAAAAAGATTATTAACCACTGAAGTTCCATTTAATTTTGCCTTTTTAGCCAACTGTGCATTATTATTTCTAGATGGAGTGAAAATTTGATTTAGGAATATAGAAAATGCAAATAACTGATGTAATGTCATTGAAAAAAAATAACCATTTATTAGTATTCTGACTTGCATAATGGTAAATTTACATTTTCATTTTGCTGACGTGAAGTCACAGTGACTCACAGTGTATTAACTACTTGTCAATGGATGGTAGGTTGTGTAGTTTAGTGTAATACGCTGTGACTAGGTGGGTCTTTGTAGCTGTCTCTGGCTCCCTGTGATAACTCACACCAGCCTACTTGTTCTAATGCTGATAGAGCCCATCTCTGGTCCCTTAGTTAGTCCGCCAATTAGAGGTTTGGAAATGTACAGTGCCTATTAAAAGAAAATAAGTTGGACCTTCCAGGTGTATCTAAACAACAATCACACTACACACACAGGTGATTCACATTCAACTACTTTTGTGACTTCTAAAACTTGTGATTTAGGTGTGTCCTTTTAAAGGGGGTGAATTCTTATGCAAACATGTATTTTGTGTTTGTAATTCATTTAGATTATTCTTTGGAAATCTGTTTTCACTTTAACATGAAATGGTAATTTTCTGTTTAAAGTTGCCAAATTAAATCTAGTGCGATTCAATGTTGTAAGACAAAACATGAATATATTTTACTTTAGCCTTATGACTTTGGTGTTTTGGTTGTTCGACAATGACATTTTAAATCTGACACTCCTTAAAGTAGGTAGAAAATCAAGTCACATTGCAGCCACATGGCTGATGCTTATGTTATAGGTGGTTTAGGTTGCACCATTTTTCACTAGATTGTTATAAGGTATCCTACACACTACATGGTAGCTGTGTAAAGCAAGAGAAACTTTCTTTTTATCTCAATTTGCCATTGTTTGCTTTACATTCCAGAAAACTCCCCAAATACAGTGTCAAAAACTATGTCTGTCTAGATGAAAATGGCTATATGAAGACTGGGAGTGTCTGTATACTCTATGTTGAGACACATGGACACAGCAGATAGCTTCAACAACTGGTGATAACAGGCTTGTGTCACAGTGTCTTGTGCTGGGCTCTGTCCCTCACTGTCCCTCATTTTCTCTGTATGGCAAGTATTATTATTGTGGTGTGATGGTGCACTCCATTATGTGGAATATGAGGTTGACAGTTTTGTTTTTTATGGAAATATTTTGACAGCTATTTCTGGTACAGACATTCATGTCCCCGAGATGATGAAATATAATCACTTGTTTCCCCTGACCTTTCATTTAGCACCTATATCAGGTCAAATTTAAGCATTTCACATCAGCCTCCTGTACTTTGTCTTTACTGTTAATTAGTAAATGTAAGCATGCTAACACACTCAAATAAGATGGTGACCATGGTAAACATTGTACTTGCTAAACATCAGCATGTTAGCATTGCCACTGTGAGCATGTTAGCATGCTGACATACGTATTTGGCTCAAAACACTCACAAGCCTACAGCCTCACAGAGCTGCTAGCATAGCTATCAAACGAACTCACATATGTTGCTGTCTTTGGTATCAACTTTACAGCAAACCCAGAAGTTTCATCCTTCATTAAAATGCTGGTGTCTAAGGTCCTGGGTTCTGAATTAGAGGCCCGGCACCCCCAAGAGATCCCAAGATGAATCTGAGGGGTCACTGGATGATTAACCCTATAGGTCACATTACAACCCCATTTTTCAAGTGAGTCAAAAATTACCCATTTGCATTTCCTCTCTTTCCTTCTCATCAGTTACTTTTGTCAGGTTCTGTGACGCCTATTTGCATCACCAGTTACTATGTGTGATTTTCTAGATTTTCTACCTCTAAGGGGATTCTAACCCTTTAACAGCAGGGACTGTAACCCTAAGGGGACTCTTACCCGTTGACACTTAGGCCCCATCCACACTACTACGTTTTTGTTTGAAAACGGAGACCTGTTGCTACGTTTGCACCTCCCGTCCAGACTAAATCGGCGAAAACGAAGACCTAAAACTGAGAAGTTCGGAAATGCTGCTGACCCCGTTTTGCGTTTCAAAACTCCGGAGGGAGTTTTAGTGAAGACGGGCAAAAACAGAGGACTTTGGAAATGATGACGCAGACGCTCTTGTTTGGCTCTCTGATTGGGTCTTATAAGTCATGCAAAGTGCAGTTCTTCATCTACATAATTTTTTTCTTTCGCCAAATCTTCTGTAACTACGGAAGAGAGAGACCATCTGCTTCATGTTTCCACCAGCACGCGCATGCCCAGTGTACGTGAACGGCCACTAGATGTGCGTTTTCAGTCGTTTTAGTATAGACTCTGATACGCAGCTAAAACGCTGGTGTGGATGGAGATCGTGTTTGTTTTAATTCTCCGTTTCTAAGCTAAAACGGAGTAGTGTAGATGGGGCCTTAGGGGACTCTAACCCTAAGGGGACTCTAACCCTTCCTTAGATACAGTCGTCACTGTAAATCCAAATTGTTCACGCTACAAACTCTGAAAAGTGGTTCACAGCCTAGCAGCTTAGCTAGCTTAGTAGCAAAGAAGCATAATGTTACGTCTGGAGACATGCTTGGCCAGTCCAACTTCTTTACCCACAGCATCTTCAGCAAGGCAGTGGTCTCTTGGAGGTGTGTTTGGGGTTGTTATCATACACTAATAATGCCCTGCGGCCCAGTCTGTGAAGGCAGGGGATCATGCTCTGCTTCAGTATGTCACAGTACATGTTGGCATTCATGATTCCCTTAATGAACTGTAGCTCCCCAGTGCCGGCAGCTTTCATGCAGCCCCAGACCATGACACTCCCACCACCATGCTTGACTGTAAGCAAGACGCACTTGTCTTTGTACTCCTCACCTGGTTGCCGCCACACACGCTGACACCATCTGAATCAAATAAGTTTATCTTGGTCTCATCAGACCACAAACAATAGTCTGCTTGTCTTCAGCAAACTGTTTGCGGGCTTTCTTGTGCATTATCTTTAGAAGAGGCTTCCACTGCAGCATGGTGGCCAAGCCCATACAGTGGTTGAACAGGACCGGTTCCACTCAGAACAGGCCTCGCCATGGTCGACCAAAGAAGTTGATTGCACATGTTTGGCATCAGGTTGTCTTTAGGAAATAGACGTATGAGTGCTGCCAGCATTGCTGCAGAGGCTGAAGGGACATCAGCCTGTCAGTGCTCAGACCATACGCCGCACACTGCATCAAATTGATCTGCGTGGCTGTCGTCTCAGAAGTGTCATATCTTCAGTGTTGTTAAATGGAAAGATATAATCAAATATTTACAACATTTGTGAGGGGTGTACTCACTCTTGTGAGATACTGTAGATCCCTCAAGCTGATCTTTCTCCTCTCCAAACCTTCCTACAGCATCCATTGCCCCTGTTTAGCAAGGGAGACAGCCTTTGCACTTCTTGCCATGTCCTTCTGCCACTTGCTCCCAGTCCAAAGGAACACCATGAAGATGTATGTTATAAAAAATACAAGGATGTTTTATTTTATTCCAGACTTGTGCACAGTTGCAGTACAAGAGATGCTCAGTTTACTTTGTGTAAATATTGAGATATTACTACATGCATGTGCACCTTTTGACTTAATGTCTCTTTGTGGTGTTGAACACTGTTGCCCAGGTATTAATGGATATCTTTCTTTTCATCTTTACTTTCACTCTCATATTTTGCATCTTTGGATTGTCTTTGGGTATGCATGTGTAAATGTTTATGTATGTGTATATGTTTAAACCCACTTCCCTTGAATTGCCCTTGGAGGGATAAATAAAAGGATTTTGAATTGCATTGAATTGTGTCATGAGTCCAGTAAATCAGTTTTTCATTCTTGCAGCGCGCTTTCCAAGGATTCAAAGTGTTTATTGTCAGATGTTTAAGTTTCCCTGTACACTGAAATTCTTACTTTGCTGTCCACATCAAATGCCTACAATAAAAATAAAATAAAATAAATGTATTAAAAAATATGATAAAAAATACAATAACTAGAGATATAAGAAAAACATAAAATTATGTTTTTATAGTTTTAGTTTGTTTTTTGTTGTTGTAATAATCTGTGTCAACCCTCTTATAATTTCCTCTTTCACCAGCCTGCGCTGCGTCCTTCTGTCAGTATCTGTTATCAGACTGGGTTGGACCACCAGCATCCACCTTCAGTCAGCGGCAGAAGATGTCTATTAGAGACAAAGTAAGTGAGCGTGAGGGCTGTAATGAAAAACATTAGGTTTAATGTGTTTATCTCATCACTTTCCTCAAGATAATCATTGGTAGAGGGACCACCCCCTCATCGTGAGGGAATCCCCAGTACGTAAACAAGATGACGCACTAAGAGGCTCTCCACCTGATACTGTATGATTTCCCTCTTTTTTACCCTCTTTACCCCCTGTGTGTCCCTCAGTCAGGATGAGGTTTGGCCTGTTGGTCCAAACAGGTTTCTCTTACTGCCCCTGTCCTGGCTCAGACCTGGTACATGCTGGTAGGGCGAAGCGAGCAAACTAGGGTTGGGATATCCCTTTTCTCAAGGTGTCCCTGGCCGATAGGGCTGCTTCTCTGTCACACAGGCCTTATCTCCCCCACCCCTCACGCTCCCGCCATGTTACTCAGCAACCAGAGGGGTAGTGGGGTATAGCACTTCTCGATAGTTTCGACGTAGTTTCAAATGGGTGTTCCCTCCTCTTCTCATGCTCTTGCTGTACTCATCTTTTTGTTTGTCCTGGTTCACTTTATCACCAAGCTCGTCTAGGCTGACAGAGCAGAGGTCGTCCTGTTTCCAGTGCTAGAGACCAGGTGGGAGTACCTGCATGCAGGTAAGGGTGTGGCCTCCTCAGGTCAGGGTTCAGACACACTTTGAGGTACTACTGGACTAGAGGGTAGAGGTCAAACCCTGATAGAAGAAGAGCATATTCTGAAGTTTCTCTACCGTGTTTGTAAGATTAGGGCGGGAGTTCACTCCAAATTTATTCAAAATATTTTAAAAGGAATATTAACCTTTACAAAAAAAGATGCTTGTGCATATTTTCTGTAAAAACAATTTAATAATAATAAAAAAAAAAACTAATATGAAGTCAAGGTCAAGTGGGATTATTATCTTCAGATAGTAAAAGCCAGGCAGATTTTCATAATTTGTTGCACTTTTTGAAATATTTCTACCTGCTTGTTTTTTTGCTAAAACATCTGTATATTCTCAGTGTTAAATTGTGAATAATTGTTACCACTAAACGGCAGTGTCTTGTCAATATGCAGCATCATGACATGTACAGACGTTCTGGTCATATCATGTTTGTTTCTTTCATGCCATACTAATTTTCTGCATGTGTGTAAAACAAGACTCTCTTTCTCTACTGAAGTCACTTGACCTCTATAGGCTTGCTGCTAAGACACATTTTCAACAGCATTTTTACAAAAAAAAGTGCCAGTCAGTTGTTTGTGAAATTGAAATGCAATCCACTAAAAACAATACACCAATGTTACATTCTGAGAAATATATTGTTGTGCATTCTGAATATTCCTGTCTAAATGTGACAGATTTGATGTTATAGAAGCTGCATTTAAAGATCTTTACTGCACTGTAACTGAAGAGAACAGAAATGTGTGGTTGAAGAAGAGTGTAACCCAGAGATAAGGCTTGGTACGTCTTCTATTTAAACTATAACGTAGCTCACATTCTCAACGGCTATGTGACTATCTGTTCTGTTCTGTATCAGTATCTCCGCTGAAGATGACGAAAAAAAGGCTCAAAGCAGGCCGTATTGGTTTTTGTAGAGGCTGAGAAACCTTCTCAATAATAATATAAATAATAAATACACCCTGCCAAGTTGACTACAGAATAATGCTACTTTTGCTATGATTGCTACGAAAATATAATATATAAATTAATTGCAAATTCTGTGTTTGGGTGGTGTATATCAAAAGTATGTCAAAATCACTACTCACAAATCTCATATGATTATTATATGCTTGTTTTTCATGTCTATTCATTTTTTTCTGTCTTAGGGGATGCATAAAAAGTACCTGAGAGTTCAAGGACAGACAGAAAGAAAATCAATGGAAAACAATATAAATTTTGAGGAGGTTGGTCTTTTTCATTTTAACATCAAACAGTGTAACATCTTCAACATTAAGAAACAGTTGCTACAAGATTTAATGTAATACTAAAGTGTTATATTGAAGATTGCACTCTCTCTTTATCCATTTTCATCTCTGCAGTCAAGATGAATGTTTTAAGATTAGGAATTAGTGTCTCATGTGAAATTGTGTCATGTTACACCCTTTCTCTAAGCCTCTCTCTCAGAAAAAAAGGAATCTTGGAAAATTGTTGCAGTGATACATATTTTCCTTCATCGTTTCATTTTCATCCAACTTCACCCTGTTAATTCTTTTTCAACTTTCCCCATGTCTAGGACAGTGACATGTCATATGAAGACAACGAGTCCGCCTTCTCCTCTCCAGTGAGACTGTGAGTGCTTTCTCTTATTTAAGCCTCTCTGTTTCAGCAGTACTTTAGACTGAGCATGTTGCACTTTAATTCTTATACTACAAAGCATATGTATAGCAAAGGTATGCTGGAATTATGTTTCATGACAAGGGTAATGGATCTTTTTTGTCCTGAACTGAGCATGTTGGGCAGTGCTCCCAAGATGTGTATCAGCCAAATAAGTCCGTCCAATCAGTGATTATGTGTAGGTTTAAGTTATAGTAGGTTTGGTAGTAAAGCTGCTCTAATAAATCATTTAAACAATACTTCAGATGACTTTGTGTAATGTGAAAGGGGTCGCATGTAGTGATGAACCCACAGAGAATTATGACCGAGTCTGCAGATCCCCTGAGCTCTAGGGAGCATTTTAGTCTCAGCTTTCAGCTCAGAGTTTTGTGGACTGTAACTTTAATCTTTTGACTTATTTCCACCCGCTGCAGGCGGCTTTTTCAAGTGAAAAAGCTCTAAACACCACTGTATGATCACAGTACAGCACTAAACAGCAGACTAACTTGTGAACATAGTGGTAAATGTAGCATCTAAAGAGTCATGTATTATTTAGAGCTGAAGGAGACCAAACCCGAGCTAAAATTAGAGTGAATATTGGACATTTATCAGGTGGCCAGAAATACAAATTCGAATGAAAGATAATGTTACTCCTGTCTTCTCAGTGTGTATATTGCAGAACTGTTTGCTAACATGTTTCTACCATGTCAACTGTTAACATGGTAATATTATATCGACAGCTAGTGTGCACTGCCCCCAAGTGGCTAACAAAACTCAGTTAATGCAGTTTAAGGTTATGGTTATGCTGAATTCACAACATGAATAGTTACATCCTATGCTCATGACATGCAAGTGTTCAATCCATCTATAAAATACTTCAAAGAAATTGAAATAAAATCAGGGTAGGCTATAGCTACCTTGAATTATAGACTTCTAATACAGACTAGCTAATTTTGCTTTTCAGTTTGTTTACTGTCAGAAGATTCACATACATATTTGCAACTTGGATCTTGACATGAGTGATTTACAAGCAGCACTGAAAGCAGCATTAGGGCACTCGTCGAAGGGAGGATGTATTTTTATTAAAGTGAAAGAGTATGGTAATGAGTGTAGTAAACATGCCTGAGAGTCTAAACTAAGGGCACAAGACTAAACACACCAAGAAGTCATTGATAAGAAATAGGTTGAGCAATCTTGCCCTCTTGTGGCCTAGGATAGAATAGCACAAATAGAGGAATTTGACAGTTATGGAGATCTTGATCCGCCTAAACTGAGTCCTACTTGAATGGATTTTAAACTATTTGCTAACTACCGTTACAGGACTCAAAGTCTGTTTAACTTACAGACACAATTATGGGAGTGCATTTTCCAAACAGTGAGCTGAGTCTCTTGCATGTCGTTCATACGGTCTGATGAAACATTAGGTGTTGTTATGAAGCAGTCATCCTTAGTCTTTATTAATGTTTGGGTTTTTTTGTCACACCATCAGGACTTCACCAGGCCAGAGCGGCATCTACAACCTGGAGAAGAGGATGCAGGAAGAGGAAGAGGAGGATGAGCCACCTGTGGAGGACATTGTCATCCCCAGTGATTCAGAGGGTAGGCTCCCTTCACAAGCCATGCAGCTGTTGGTGATTTGACTTGTCATATCTGTGCACAAATCACTTTTCTGTCTCTTTATTTCAGCTTATCTTAACGTGAACACCAATGCCACCACAAGAGGGGATGCTCAAGTTAGTCGACATTCTTCACACTTATCAGACATAAAAGTGAATTCAAAATAACATTATCTGCCTGTATGTTTATTAACAAACCCCATTCCATTAACACAGGCCTATGTGGAGCTGAATGAGCTCCAGGGCAACACCTGGCAGGAGACTGGCCGCTGGGTGGGCTACGAGGAGAACTTTAACACCAGCACAGGACAATGGGGTCCTTCTCATGTCTCCTATCTCACTTTTAAGAGCCTGATCCAGCTCCGCAGGACCATGAGCACAGGTGACTTTGGAATTTTGAATGCAACAGAAATCAGTGCATACATTCGGATAATATCGAACTTGTTTTAGTTTAATTTATCAATCTAAAGCAATTCATATGTCCTCAGGTGCTGTCATCTTTGACCTGAATGCCAGCAGTCTGTCCACTGTGGCCGAGAAGGTGGTTGATGAGCTGTTGAACAAGAATGAGATTCGCGCCAGTGATCGGGATGACCTGCTGAGAGCTCTCCTCATGAAACGCAGGTCACCCACAAGAAACAATATGTCTATGTTTCTTCTACAAGATGATATTGCCACAAAAAGTGATTCACTTCATGTTCATTTTATTTGTCCTTCCAGTCAGTCTGAAGGAACTGTGGTTACTCCCTCTGGAGACATTCAGATGCAGACCTTTTCTGTAACCAAGAAGGTATGCATTTTGTTTATTACAGTCCTATCAATTTTCATCATCTGGGTAATCATTAATATCATATTCATGGATCAACTTAAGAGCTTTCATTTATTGAACTGCTGCACCTGCTGTTTTTGCAGAGAGACAGTTCTGACAACGTGGAGGCCTCGGTTGTCCTCTCAGGTATGTTCATGTAATTCAAGACCAGTTATGTGTCTCAGGGGTTTTGTATGTGGTTCTAGAGCAGATGACAAAATTAAAGTGTCTTTTTGATAGGTGTCCTGGATATCCTGCAGAAACCAGTGGTGGCTTTTGTGAGGCTGAGTGACTCTGTGGTGATGGACTCTGTCCTGGAGTCATCTGTCCCCGTTCGCTTCGTGTTTGTGTTGGTGGGCCCCAGCCAGGGCGGAATAGACTACAGTGAAAGTGGCCGTGCCATGGGTGCTCTGATGGCCGACTGGGTGAGAGAGATGAGAACAGTTCAGCCGCATAAAGCTTTAGCAATGAGATCCCACAAAAAGTTGCCGACTTTGTTTGGTGCAGGTGAATAAAAGCTTTCTGTGTTCAGGTGTTCTGTCTCGAGGCCTTCTTGGCCCAGACTGAGAAAGATCTGACAAACGCCATCGCTGACTTCATGGACTGCAGCATTGTGATCCCTCCCACTGAGATCCAAGAGAATGCAATGCTTGAGTCAATCATCAATTTCCAGAAGAAGATGCTGCGTGACAGACTCCGTCCCAATGACACCCGTCTTGCCTATGGTGACAGGGTCCAAGGTCAGCACACAGATCAGTACTTAGGCTACAGTGCAGAGCAGCCTGGACTGACAGTTTAATCTAATTTTCGTCCTCTGTTTGTGAGACTTTTGTGTACTGTAATTGCATATTGAAAATTATTACAGTCTATAAATAATTACATAATTGCCATTTCATGATACAAATAATAATAAATAAGCGTATTTTATATATTATAATATATAAAATACGCTTATTTTTTATTATTTGCATTCTCCTGAAGAGTAAGACTAGGAGATTAATACCTCTTCATGTCTGTTAAATATGAAGGTACAGCCAGCTGGCAGTTAGCTTAGCTTAGCATAAAGACTGCACAGGGGAAACAGTCTGGCCACTTACCAGCACCTCTAAAGCTCACTTGTTAGCATGTTAAATCTCATTTGTTTAATATGTACACACATTGAAGCATTTAATGACAATTTACTATTTTACATGTAGCTACGTGCCAGTCACTTCCTGGCAAAGGAATAGTTTGGCACATGAGCTCACTTAAAAAGGGCCAATTGTTGAAGCAAATCGGATGAGCGTGTGTCGAGAAATCTAAGGACAAACATACATATATACGGACAGACAGACTCTTTCCATTGTACCTTAGCACCGTTAAGCATGGTTCGAATTATGGGTAGGGATTGCGGGGGTCTGACCCCCCTAGTTAAGGATTGGACCCCCCCAAAAGAGACAAAACCAACAGTTCAGGGGGGTATTTCTTACCTGTATTTGTAAATATCGCAATATATTTCCCGTACTCATGCCTTATATTCAAGAATCTTGTCTGTCTGCATCACTCGCGGCGCAGCTGCTCCAGTCGGTGCATCACACACTAATGGAGACGCAGCAGGTTAATGTCAGTATTTAACTATCTAGCTGCTTTAATACACTTAACTTTCCTACCTTCAGAGATTCGTAATTAGCATTTTACTTACCCACCTTATTCATTTCATTCTAACTATGTAATTTCATATTTTATGTAATTGTCAGCTAACACTGTTAGCTGACAATTACAGGCTCAGGCATGAGCAGTGAAATTGGGGATTAGTTATTGTAGAGATACATTTTTACATCAATATAGTTTTTTATTTCATTTGAAGTCTTTTGTGAGTCCTTTCACAATAAACATGGCATTAGTTTTAACTTTGAAATTTAACTTTGGATATTTGCTAAAAAAAAAAAAAAAACAGTAGCCTAAGTTGAAACTTTGATGAGAATGATTTGATGACATTAATTAAATAAGCAAAGATATTGTAAGCATTGTAAGATTTTAGTTCACTGAAGCCCTCGTCTGTGCTGTACTGGGTTTTCTTTTGGACCTGGAAAAAAGGTTGACCCCACTGTATAATTCGCACTCTGCCGTTAAGTTGAATTCCTATATGAAAGAAGAAGAAAACAATGAAAAAACAACCAGACCAAACAACAAAAGTAGCTTCTGCTGGAGGAATTAGAAAAACACATATAAAAAAGGCAGATTTAGTGTAATCAGTATTAACGTCATTTTTATTTGATTACTTGTCCAGTTGAGAAACCTCCAGAGGTGCCGCGAGAAGACCCTCTGGCCCGTACCGGCTATCCCTTTGGTGGGATGGTGAAGGACGTGAAGCGCCGTTACCGTCACTTCCTCAGCGACTACACGGACGCTCTGAACCCTCAGGTCCTCGCTGCAGTCATCTTCATCTACTTCGCAGCCCTGTCCCCAGCCATCACTTTTGGAGGGCTTCTGGGTAAAAGAGGGTTCCTGATAGAGAGATGTGTCTTTTCTCTTCACCATATATGATATTGTTAATAATTCTCTCTGTTCTCTGACCCTAGCTGACAAAACAGAAAAACTCATGGGCGTGTCAGAGCTTATGATCTCCACCAGCGTCCAGGGTGTCATCTTCTGTCTCTTGGCAGCCCAGCCTGTCCTTGTCATAGGCTTTTCTGGACCGCTGCTGGTGTTTGAGGAAGCTTTTTTCTCTGTACGGATGAGTTGTCACTCCTGAAATAAATCTGACCCCCCTAGTTAAGGATCATTAACACCTATTTTCCTTTGTTCATTACACACTAGTTCTGCAAGTCCCAGGGCATTGAATACATTGTGGGCCGGATCTGGGTGGGGATGTGGCTAGTAGTGATCGTGGTCATCATCGTGGCCGCAGAAGGCAGCTTCCTGGTCAGATATATCTCCCGCTTCACTCAGGAAATCTTCTCCATCCTCATCTCTCTCATCTTCATTTATGAGACCTTCAATAAGCTCATTAAGGTTTCCTCACCTCATCTCTTCATGCCTTTCACATCACAGACACCATTTCCCTTTAGCCACCACTGTAATTGCCTAATTTGTGGTCTCTTAATATGCTTCCTCTGACTTTTCATCTCCTCTTGCTCAGATCTTCAAAACCCACCCTCTGATTCTGAACTACGATCATCTGAACGACTCAATGGACAACCCTTTCCACCCAGTTGTCAAGGAGCACATTGAGATTCATTCAGATGGCAACGTAACCGTTCATGAGCTTGAGATTGAAAGGCCTTACCCCAACACTGCCCTGCTGTCCATGTGCCTGATGTTTGGTTGTTTCTTCATTGCCTACTTCCTCCGCCATTTCAAGAATGGTCATTACTTACCCGGGCCGGTAAGATCAACCTTCTACATTGGTGTAGTTTTGAAAATAGTAGTGTAGTCTGAAATATTCTAAATGAAAAATCTGCCATGGTATATCCTTTGCTCTCTGTCTCATTAGATCCGTCGTTTGATTGGAGATTTCGGTGTCCCTATTGCTATTTTCTTCATGATTGCTGTGGATATCAGCATTGAGGATGCTTACACACAGGTAAGTGTGTCGTAGTGAGTTGACTCCTGTCACGTAACTCACATCATCTGGATTATGATATATCTAAATACTTTGCAGAAGTAGTGTATGCAGTACAGCAAATTGAAATAACGTAGACATATTACTATTAAGATGACTTTCTATGACAGTCATTGTCAAAAGGTTTAGAGCATGCATTTAAGGGTGAGGATTTTGTCGAATTACAAATGCAACAATTTTGGGCCGTTAAATTCATGAATAGTCATGTTCACCCCGGCTTTTGTCTGATGATTTGGCAATTTTTACACCCCTAATCCTGAAGAAAAATGATTGAAATAGGTCTACATTTATAGTTAAATATGTTTCATATAAAAAATAGCCTAAACATATGTTTATTAAATTAAACATGTTTTAAAGGGAAGGTTTGACATTTTGATAAATTTACTTTCTGGTGGAGAGTAAGATGAGAAAATTTATACTTCTTTAATGTCCTTTAAATATGAAGGTACAGCCAATCGGCAGTTAGCTTAGCTTAGCATACAGACTGGACAGGGGAAACAATTAGCCTGGCCACCTACCAGCCCCTCTAAAGCTCACTAGTTAACACTTTATTTCTCGTTTGTTTAACTGTACAAAAACCAAGACGTAAAATCACAATTCACCTTGAAGTCAGCAGTGAACATGAAGTCATTCATATTCATCATGTGTGTAGATACATATTAGAAATTTGGTCCATATATTATAAAGACCATCTTTACTGTGGATAAAATAAGAAAATTAAAATCAAGGGCACATTGGTAAATAAAATAGGTTGGGAGATTATGATCTTTAGTCAAGGTTGTAATAAAGCAAGCTAACACCTGTTGTCTATCACCTACACTAATTTGACAGTATTAATCATAATAATAATAAAAATTATTTATTGGCCAATCTGTCTAAGAATCTTTGTAAATCCATGTCCTGCACATAAAAAGGAAGACAACGTTTATGTTCCTGGTTACAATCGTCATTTTTTCTTTCTTTCTAAAATATCACAGAACTCAAACTATCAGTTCAGAATTATCAGAAGTCTTGACTGAGAAGAAAATGTTGATTTTTTTTTTTTTTACTCTTGCTGTGTTGTTTTTTGTTTTGGTAATAAATGAGCTGAATGAATATTGTCCTGTCCCCTTGTAGAAATTGGTTGTGCCAAAAGGTGTTGAGGTGACCAACCCCAGAGCCAGAGGCTGGTTCATCAACCCCATGGGAGAAAAGAAGCCCTTCCCCGTCTGGATGATGGGTGCCTGCTGTGTACCAGCAGTGCTTGTCTTCATCCTCATCTTCCTGGAGTCCCAGATTACTACGTGAGTAACTCTATAAACAACGGCATTACAGTCGCCAGTAATGCTTCATGTGAAGTTATTGTGAATAAAATTAAGATAATATTTATAAGACATTTCTATTTTTTTCAATATTCTGTGTGGATTGTCAGGCTGATTGTGAGCAAACCAGAAAGGAAGATGCTGAAAGGATCCGGTTTTCATTTTGATCTGCTCCTCCTCGTCACCATGGGGGGTCTCTTCTCTATTTTCGGGGTGCCGTGGCTGAGTGCTGCCACTGTGCGATCAGTCACCCACGCCAACGCTCTCACTGTCATGACCAAGGGCCCGAAACCAGAGATTGAGAAGGTGCTAGAGCAGAGGATCAGTGGCTTACTTGTGGCCATCTTGGTTGGTAGGTGCTGCCATCTACAGTGCCGAATCAGACATCGCAGGGTCAGATTTAAGTACCGTTTACTTTAATAATCATTCACTTTCTGGGATTCCCAGGTGTTTCTATTTTCATGGAGCCTATTCTGAAGATGATTCCTATGACAGCCTTGTTCGGTATCTTCCTCTACATGGGTATCACCTCTTTGAGCGGAATCCAGATGTGGGACAGGATGCTCCTGTTGATTACACCAAAGAAATACCATCCTCCTGACGCCTACGCCACCAGGGTATGCAACCTCCCCAAAAACAGTTTTTTTTAATGGCAGTTTGTCTGAGGTCTAGATTTAACACTTCAGTCATTTTCATGTTGTGCACAGACCTGGCACTTTTCACATATTTGTTGTTGATTGTTGATCTTTGTTGTTGTATATTTTTATGTTGTCAGTTTATATCTTTATATGTACACAATATTCTCTTCCGTTGCGTTACTTCTGCACGGCACAGACCCAGAATAATGCACATGTAGATACCTGCAACGTTGTTCTTCTATTCCATATTTATATATTATATATTTATTTATGTTGACTGTATGTTTGTCTACGTGTAGCACCTTATCACCACAGCAAATTCCTCGTATGTGTAAAACACGACTTGGCAATAAAGCTCCTTCTGATTCTGATTCTGATTCTGATTTTGGAGACTAGTGTCTGGTGGCGTCATCTTATTGATTAATTTGACCGACTGTCAAGACTATCACATTAAACTGTATAGGTGGTCCTACAATCTCCCTATAAATGATCGGTACTTTAAATTAGAATACTGTTCATTTTCATGTCTTTGCCTCCGTGTTCCTCTGCTAACGCTCTCCACCGTTGCCATTTGTGCAGGTGAAGACACTGAAGATGCATCTCTTCACACTGATCCAGATTGTGTGCCTGGCTGTCCTGTGGATGGTGAAGATTAGTCCCTTCTCTCTGGCACTGCCTTTTGTTCTTATTCTCACTGTCCCTCTGCGCATGTTCATGACCGGCAGGCTCTTCTCTGTCATGGAGATGAAATGTGTAAGTACCTCTCTGCAACTGTTACATTCACCCCAAAGCACAGGCAGACCTTACAGTGGTATATCATATATGTGGGATTCTCTGGTGTAAATGGATGTGTCTGTGTTGCAGCTGGATGCAGATGACGCCAAAGTGACGTTTGAGGAGGAACCTGGGAAGGATGTGTACGATGAGTCCCCACTGCCATAAACAACACCATATCGTTAATGTCTCATTCACACACTTTCCAAAGAACTAAATTTTTGACTTCCAGTAATAATGTGAAAATGTCAGGTGTCTTTAGAAATATATATTTTGTAAACATATACAGTTTCAAACTATTCTGTTCTGTTATTATTATTTATCTTTAAAGGAAATTGCTTTTCATTTTAAGAATTCATTCATTATTTCTGCAGCTGAATCTGTGTTTGTGACCTTGAACCACAAAAGACATATTTTATATTGTCATCATGATATAGAGCATGTCCTGTGTCCTCTCATTTTCCACTTTTCATTCTCATATTTCATATTTTATTAATGTAGATTAATTGAAAATACTTCAAACTGTTTATTTACTTAAATATTGTGTTATTGAGTCTTTCGATGCAGGAAAAACATTTGATGTCTTTAAATGAAAAGTATTTTTCCGTAAGATGTGAGGTAAATCCATTTATAGTATTGTTTGTTTTTTAGTGCATAACTACAGCATAGCTTTAAAGTGACTGCCAGTGCTGCTGCAATGTAGATCTCCCCATGTTATAATAATGATTTCACGTAACCTAATGTTCACAATCTAATTTGATCTATTCTGCTCTTTACACACACGCACAAACCAGCCATCACCCAATGCAATCGCCTTTCCTTTATTTCTTCTCAAAATGAGTTTTAAATTGTGAGTTCTCAAGTTTGCCTCATTTGATATATTGTGTATGGTTTACAGAACAATGTTCGATATACCTGTTGTGAGTATAGAAAGATGTGTAATACGCTTTTATGTTAAGCATGTAGCCTAATAGGTTTAATGATCATGAAATGGGATGAGCAGTGATGGGTAGTGGATGATGAGATATAATTGTTTGAGCTGATTGTTATACCGATGATATATTCAGGGAAGAACTTATTTGTAAATGTATCTTATTATGCCTTTTCGTGTTGCCTATCATGTGTTTGTGCTTGAAACACTGTATATGCTTTGGATTTTCACTTTATTAAAAATAAAAAACAGTGACAAACAGCAAACATAACAGCCTTTAAAGTGTTTATTTTTATAAAGAATTAGAAAATACAGTATCATAGTATTAAAGTTTTACATCACTCACAGCTGACTTTAATCACTTTATCCAACAAGTAACAGAAGAGGGGGGTGTTCAATTGGAGGCTTGCCACTCAGTTGCATGCTGCCTTCACTGTTATCATGTAAACACGAACTTCTTAGTACTCCTATTTGGAAAACACCATGGACATGGTCAAAAATATTATCTTCAACGTTTTCTTTTGCTGCAGCAGGCAAGATTTGCTCAGACATTTTTTATAAACAAACAAAACAAAACAAACAAATAAAATAAATAAAAAAACAGACTGTGAAAGGTTAAACCATACAAATGCTTTACACAGATACCAATAAGACAATCACAAGTAAATAAAATATTAAATAATCATATATATATAACAGACAAAATATACAACATAATGAAATTGTGAAATAATTCAATAGGCTGCTTTTTAAAACTCAGCTTATTTTTATTTAACTGTCAAACAAGCAAACAAACCAAATTTGTAAACTGATGCTTAATTCTGAATAAGCAGAAAGACTTAGTGGACTAATAAAACAGTAAACGAGATGAATCCAGACTTTGGAAATTAACAACTAAAAACTAGTGAAAATAAATCAAAATGACCTGTAATAAACTTTGGTATGTCAAAAGTTTAAATTTTGGATTGTTTCTCATTTTAGGATCATATTTTGTTTGTTCATAATAATATTATTACTTGATTGTGTGTTGTTTGTGCCTGCTCTTCTGCGATGATGCCAACATTTCCGACAGCACCAGAACGTCGCGCAGTTTAACAAGGCCGAGTGGCTGAAAGTCATTTGTTTTCCTTGAATCGGACTGACTGGATTGGACGGTCGGGGGTTCCGCCCACAAACACACAAGGTGGAGTTGAAAAGGAAAAACATGCTGGGCCAAGATGAAGCTGTCAAACAGCCTCTTACAATTTGCTAAAAGAAGAGCCGAGCAATGTGAAAAGGCATTGAGGCTGCTTTGAAGACATTTTAGATAGTTCTCTCTACAGTGAAACTCTGACACTGATAAGTAAAAATGATAAACTTTTGAAAAAATAAGATTTTTATGTTAATTATAATAAGTTATGTTAATAGGTTATTTGGTTTGTAAGATGGGATGGTTGCACTTAAATAAGATAACGATTGGCACAACTTTCATGAAACTTTCAGCTTCCTGATGAAAATGTTCGCGGTGCAAACTTCGGCTGGAGATCAGAGACAGATTCGGCTCATGTGAGTGGAAAAAAAAAAAAAATATTCAGAGACAACGGTGCTAAGTCGGAAAAAATGTGGATGTCTCGGCGTAGCGAAATGGTTGGATGGAGAGAGAGGAGCTGCTGTTGCTGCTGCGCGTTGAGTGGAGGGAGACGGCGAGTGAGATGGAGGCGGGGGGGAAGGACCATCTCTGCGGGGACTGGAGCCCAGGACCGACGGCGCAGTGCTGGCTATCGTTCAACCCTCCCCTTCTTCCTCCACAACGACACCGAGACTCACGCCGAGAGACAGGTAAGCCAACCAAACAGCCGCTTGGTTTCATAATACGGCGAGGGTGCGCGATAAAGAAACCAGAAAACCCTCTAAAACCCGCTAAATCTACCGTTAATGTTTGTTTTTGTTTTAGTAAAAAGCGCCTCGGTCGGTAGCCTCTTTGTAGTAGCGAAATAAACCGACCGCTGTGGCAGGGTACGGACGTTGTCGGCCATATCCGAATATCTTGTCCTCTACAGCGGGGAAGGAACTGGATAAGACCCGGAGGCAAATGTGGTATTTGATCAAAATTAAACCAAGCGACCATTGTATGCTAATTCCCTCCATCGAAACTCGACTATTCGCGCTGTAAACGGGATATTTGCGTGGGGGAATTAACGGTGGTTTCCGCGCCGAGACCTCCATGCGGCTGTTGGCGGAACAGCCAGCCGCCTCTCGGTTAGCCATCAGGGATCTCGGTTTAATATCTCACCGTGCAGAGACTCGCCCTCTCTCTCCCCCTCTCTCTCTCACTGACTAGCCCAGAACCACCGACGACCGAGCGCGGAGAACCCGCCTTCTTGGTCTCGCTTATGCTCTTTTGGGTCGAGGAAAGGGAGTCTGCAACGCCCTGGCTTTAGTTTTAAGCTCCGTTTTCTCCATTTGCAGTGCGCCATTGGACCTTGTCACGGTAGGTTTCCTTGCAGAGCAGAGCTGAAGCATGGCGGATCTGGAGCTGTTTGTCGCGCCAGCGAAGCTGCTCAGCCTCGGATGTTAACATATTTCCTTTTGAGCTTTTGCTAACAATGTAGATACAATGTAACCGGGCTATGTAGTAGCCGAAACTGTTAGCAGCTACCATTAAAATAAACTATTTCGTTACTAAGTTAAGGTTTAGGGTTTAACGTTTGGTCGTTAAAGATATTTTCAATTTCTTCTTTCTTCCTGCGCCTCCGCAAGTCCTTCCAACCCACCACCATGAAATATTACTCGGGTAACGTTACGTTATTATTACAATTTAATTTCCAAAACTCGACGAAGTCTATTATAAATTTAACATTGTTTAACGGTAGCTGAAATTTAGCAGTTACTCAACGGTTTTAAATTATTTGGTGTAAACAGCGACGTTAAGTCCAGGGCTCCGAAACAGGAGATTCTTGTTAAATACAAGCAAGCTTAAAGTTTTCTGTTAAATGCTAACATTTTTCAAAAGTATCTATTAAAGAAAAATCCAATTTAAACTATTTGGTGTGCCAAGTTGTCCTTGGCCATGTTAACGTTAATGCCCCATCCAAATTTCTTAGCATCCATATGTTTTAATTATAATGTAATTTACTATAATATATCTGTTCTAACTGGTCCAGGTGTACGTTATGGCAGCTCTGTAGTTACACAAATGTTGATAATGATAGTTTAAATGTAGCTATAGGTCACACCGTGAACAACACAGTGAGCTGGGGCCATCAAGGACACGATGAACAACGAGCAGCCGCCATCATTGGAGCACAGCTCGGCTACGCCTCGCTGAAGAATGCACTGGGTTTTGCTCTTAAATCCTAATATTCAACGATAAAAAAAACTATAATAAAACGGTCTGTAAATGCTCTTGAACATATTTATTAACTGTAAGCGAATAATATATTGATTGAGCTCCAGCCTGAGTTCACATTTGAGGAGAAGGTTGCATGGCGGAGCTAGATCCGCGTCCATCGGTGATGAGGCGCCTCTGTCGTGTGGCGCATTTGGCTGCAGTGTTTCCAAGCCACCATTCCCCCTTGTCGGAGACGAGACCGAAAGCAGATCCCCCGTCCGTGGTCAGCTGGTCGCCTACAGCTGCCTGTCCGTCCACGTCCATTCGCTTCCTCCTTCCGTGGATCCTCCCCAACCTCCTCTCCGACAGAAAATCCTCCATTACCGAGCGGACCGTGCGAGAAAATGGTCGCTCCTGTGTGTCCACGATACTTTTGTTGTGGAATAAGGACAGCACTAATACGCCAAATTCCGGCTGGCAAATTTGCTCGACTGAGACTCCTGTACTCTTAGCTAGTTGTGCTAGTTGAAGCCCTCCGCAGTGATATTTGAGATTTGAAGCCGTCACAAGCAATAGCCTATGTCTCACCATGTAGCGTAAACGTTTAAGGGGCGGTGTAATGAACATAAACCATTATGTCGAGGCGAATTTAAATTCCGCGACATGAAAACGTCAGTTTTACTGTTATATCACAGACAAATCACGTTTTTATTCACAAATCAGCATCTATCATATGAATACTATATACATTAAAATAACTTTATCATTAAATTCTGATTTTTTTTTCTTTTTTTTTTTTTAAATACATCTATTCTCTTTGTAGGAGCTGAGTATGAGCCTACATATCACGGATGGCAATGTTTTTATCTATTTAAGTTAATGTTGCTGTAAGAGAGATGTTTGGTAACTGTATTTTTGTTGCTTTTTTAGATACCAGACAGTATACCCACAAATGAATGGAGACATGGAGGCAACCACCCAAAGCCAAGGTGGGCTTTTGTAACAGCTTTGTGGACATGTATCTCACAATTTCTTTTGTGGAAATAATTTATTGATTATTATTAATTTTATCACTTCTACAATGACAATTCATCTGCTGTTATGAGAACTGTTTATCAAGCCCATTTGCTACAGGTCCTTTTAGCAATTACAGGGATGACACCCAGTGAGTTTAAAAACAATGCAGAATGTATGATTCCGCCACTGAAAACAGTGAATATAGTGGGGTGGGTGTTTCTCTCAAGGGAACATAATTGGTCATACTTTTAGACATACAAAATGATACTACAGCCATTTTTTTTCTTACCCAATTGTTTAATTTATCATTTCTGCGTCCTTTCCGTTGGTTGTTTTTTTTTTTGTCACAGTTTGGGCACAGGATGACCTCCTAAACCTGCTGGAGGCCATGAAAGTGGCCCTGCCTCCAAAAGATGTGACTAAATACAAAACATCAGAGTCCCACCTCGACTGGCAGAAGGTGGCCTTCAATTCCTACACAGCAGACATGTGTAAGCAGAAGTGGCAGGAGGTCTCTAAAGAGGTGAGGCATTTTTTTGTGACATTCATATTGAGTATTGTACAATCCCTTGCACTACTGTACATACTGTAAAGTTATTCATACGGTACTACCATAGTCATAACCTGTTCATAGCCCGTACTTAACCTGTAGCAATAGACATTCATATAGAGTCATATTTATATATCATTCATATTTTGCACTGTATAATAATGTATCATATTTTGTTTAATTACTGCTTAAGCACTTCTGGTTAGATGCTATCTGCATTTTGTTGCTTTATACCTAGTGACATGCACAATGACATTAAAGTTAAATCTAATCTATTGGCTATTGTCTGTCAAATTGTGTACCACTAAATGTGCATGTTTTTTGTGTGCTATATCTACAGATTCGTAAATTTCGGACCCTAACAGAGCTGATAGCTGATGCCCAAGACTACATCAAAAACCCTTACAAGGGCAAGAAAATAAAGGTGAGTTAAAACCGATATTTCACACAACTAATGAAAAACTATCCGTCTGTGTGGAGCTCAGTCTTTTCTATCCTCCTTTTCCACATGATACACAGAAACACCCAGATTTCCCCAAGAAGCCTTTGACTCCGTACTTCCGCTTCTTCATGGAGAAGAGGGCCAAGTACGCAAAGTTGCACCCAGAGATGAGCAACCTAGACCTAACTAAAATCCTCTCCAAGAAATACAGGGAGCTGCCTGACAAGAAAAAGGTTAGTCAAAAAAACAGATTAATACACAACTTATACATATGACCATGGTACAATTTGAAACAGTTTCTAAAATTCTAACTAAAATATTGTTTTCTTTTCATGTCTACAGAAAAAATATGTTGACGACTTCTTAAGAGACAAAGAAACATTTGTGCATAGCATGATGAAGTTCAGGTGAGATTAATTATTATTAATATTCATAATTAAGTGTTATTAACAGTGGGGGAATAAGGTACCTGCAGCATATTTAAACGATGATAAATGCACTTAAATTCTGGTTTATGATGTGTAAATTCAGGGAAGAACACCCTGACCTTGTGGAGAGCATGACAAAGAAAGGTTCAAATGTCCCAGAGAAGCCTAAGACACCCCAACAGCTGTGGTACAACCACGAAAAGAAGGCCGTCCTCAAGACACGCCCAGATGTAAGTTGAACCATCTACTAAACAACATACATAACACAATCTCTGTATGTACCTTGGATTTTAATTTTCTTTGTCTCACACTAGGCGACCACCAAAGACATTAAGGACAGTCTTGGCAAACAGTGGACACAGCTGTCTGACAAGAAGAGACTCAAATGGATCATTAAGTCTCTTGAGCAGAGGAAACAGTACGAGGTGAGACTACAGTGATGTGTGATATGTTACGCCAGAGTCTTATAATAAGGGCTGTAGTAGAATTATGAAGACATACTATCCATCTGCCTTCAATTTTAACTGTTTTTGTTTGCAATATTCTAGGAGACAATGCGGGAGTACATCCAGCAGCACCCAGAGTTAAACATGACCCAAGATGACATCGTAAAGTCCACCCTGACCAAGGCTGAGAGGCACTTGAAAGACAAATCTGACGGCCGGCCTGACAAACCACCTCCGTGAGTCACAGCTGCAAATACACTACTAACACATTGACATGATGCTGGTTGTAGGCCACTGCCCTGTGGGTGAGGAATTTAAATGTATATATTAAATGTATTATTTTAATGTGCTTTCAGAAATGGTTACTCAATGTTCTGTGCTGAGTTGATGTCAAACATGAAAGACGTACCCAGCACAGAGCGTATGGTGATGTGTAGCCAGCGGTGGAAGCTACTGAAACAGGCTGAGAAGGACGCCTACCAGAAACGCTGTGAAATGGTTAGTTCAGAATCATCAAGTTACATCATTTAAAAACAAAAAAAGACTTAATTACGGTTTGTCTAAACAAAAATATTTTTTTTGGTTCTCAGAGGAAAAAGGAGTATGAAATTGAGATGAACAGATTTCTCAGTGTAAGTTTCTTTTTGTTTCTACTTCAACATCTGTTTTTGTTGTGTTAATTTGCATGTCACAGACATCACTGTTCTCATGTGTGCTACAAGCATTTCTTATGTATATTTTTTTTGTCTTCCTGTGGATCTGTAGAGTTTGTCAGAGGAGGAACAGCAGCGGGTTTTGTCTGAGGAGAAGATAGGATTTAAGAGGGGCGGTGGAGCCAACAGTCCTGCCTCCAAAAAGAAGAACTCTAAAGCAAAGGTATACAGCAACAATGTATATACATAATATATACTATATACTAAAATTTTTTACTATTTCAAGTATAGCATGTTAAGCTAAGTCCATTCATATTATTTAAACAGTTATTTCTTGAGGAAAATCAATATACATACATATAGTGAGGGGAGATTTGGGAAGTTTTTTTTAAAATTCAGATCTGCCAGTTGACCTGTATACCACGATAGAGTACTCTACATTTGTTAAAACCTGTAAATTCAAACATTAGGACTGATGAGGTCACTGTTCAAATACAATTACTGCACTTCCTTACATGTGTAATTCTTTATACTATTAAACAGTAAAAGTTTAATTTTGTGTGGCTGTTAAATTAGTTACCTACATGTAGAATTGTTTTCTTATATTCTTTTGCTCTGTAACGTGTAGGCCAGTCCAGAGAAACCCAAAAGGCCAATTTCAGCCATGTTCATCTTCTCTGAGGAGAAGCGTCCTAAACTGCAGCAGGAGAGGCCAGACCTTGCTGACAGCGAGCTCACAAGACTCCTGGCCCGCATGTGGAACGAGCTGCCGGATAAAAAGAAGGTAACTTGTCGATCCAGTGTGATATTATTCTGTAAAAGAAATGTCTAGTAGAGTGGATCACAGCAGTCAAATCATACTGACATGGTTGTAAAATACTAACAAATTACAATAATCTTGTTGTTCTGGTTATTTAGGAGAAGTATAAACGCCTAGAAACAGTCCTGAAGGCAGAGTCAGAGAAGAAGGAGAAGGAGGACCGTAGTCGTCTGCCCGACCCACCCAAGACTGCACAAGACATCTGGCAGCAGAGTGTCATAGGAGACTACCTGGCTAGATTTAAGGTATGCATGAGTCGTAGTCTTCAGAATACAAAAGGGTAGTTTTGTTTTAGGCGTTCACTCTATAGACAGTAGTTTGATCGGTGATGCTAAAAGTACATGTCTTAAAAGTACGTCCTAATAATGCAGAGGTAGGTCACAGGTGTCCATGCTCATGTAATTTATTTAATTTGTTTACAGTGTTTAACTTTGAACCACTAACTGTCATTACTCTGTCATCACTGATATCATATCATAGCAGATAACATAGATAGATAACAGGAGTATTGTTAATGAACTACAGCTGTATACTTCTTAAACTGAAAAACTGTTTTACTGTACAAAACATTTTAGCCAGAAGTGCATTTAATGTGAGCCTTTGCTTTGCAGAATGACCGGCCAAAGGCACAGAAAGCAATGGAAGCAACCTGGAGCACCATGGAGAAAAAAGAGAAAATTATGTGGATCAAAAAGGCAGCAGAGGACCAGAAAAGATACGAGGTTAGTGGCAAGTAACTGGCTGTCCACTACAACTGCACAGCATCTGTAAACGGTACCAGTGAGAGTAAACCGTTGACTTTACTCTCGTTAACAGAGAGACCTGTGTGAGATGCGCTCACCTGCTGCTGCTGCCATTGCCTCAGGGAAGAAGATGAAGTTTGAGGGTGAACCCAAGAAACCACCATCGTAAGTTTTTCGCATCCAACTTCTCTGTGCTGCCATGTTGTGTGTATTCAATTAAAACCCAGACGTTGTGATTTTTGCTTGGTTTTGAATCTCTAGAAACGGATATCAGAAGTTCTCCCAGGAGATGCTTTCCAACGGAGAGCTGAATCACCTCCCAATGAAGGAGCGGATGACTGAGATCGGAAGCCGCTGGCAGAGGTTACCACTGAAGGATAAGGAGCGCTACAAGAAGATCGCTGAGGAGAAGCAGAAACAGTACAAAGTCCTACTGGAACAGTGGCTCGCTGTAAGAAGTGGTTGTTGGTTGTTTGTGGGGGGGTTAGTCAAAACATCTTGGCCACTTGACATATCTAACACTTACTTCCATCCTTCCACAGAGCTTGTCTTCACAAGAGAGAAACACTTACAAAGAATATAATTCACAAGTAAGTCGGTTATTTCACAGTTGCTATAACAAACTGGACAAATTGTACTGTAGCTCTGTATCTTTCTAATATGTTAGGTTGACATATTTTAAAACTACTTGATGTTTCAGAAACGGAGATGTCCGGCAAAACCAGGAGGCCCCAAGGCAAAGTCCAAGAAATCTGTAAGTGCAGACTGTCTCATTCTCTCATTCTTCTTTTTCCCCGTCTCATAAAGCTGCTGCAGTGATGTCATGTAGTAATGTTGTCAACCATACCTGAAAATCTCTCTTCCCACAGGAAACTGAGGAGGAGGATGACGATGAGGACGAGGATGAAGATGATGAGCAGGAGAAGGCTTCCTCTGAAGCAGACTCATCCAGTGAGGATGACGACGATGATGATGACGACGACGACGTGAGTTGCTGCTTTACAGAGATGACTATAAGAAGTGGAAGTTGATTGTGCTAAATATATTTGATTTTTATTTATTTTTGTTGATTGTTTGAAGAAGGACGATGACGATGATGATGAAGAAGACGACGAAGATGATGACGAGGCGGAAGACAAGGAGAACAAGTCAGAGGACAGCAGCAGTGAATCAAATTCACAGGGGTCGTCAGACTCTGATTCGGACTGAAACAGGCCGTTGTCGTCGAGACGTACTGAGCAGCGCTGAGCTGAGCCAAGAGTCAAGGGAGCTCTGCCACTGTGCCAACCCTGCTCTCCTCCCACCACCAGGGGGAGCCCCTGCATTGCCTCATCCACTTCACACTCACCCACTTTATGTTGCTGCGTTGGTGACCCCACCCATATGTCCAAAATGCGTTTGATTCCCTCCCCGGTGTGAAGGTCATCTCACAGCACGGGGCCGCTTACGTTATGCCAAAAACAGCATCCCACTGGTTTGGTGATGTTGTGAACATTTCTGCCGCTGGTTTCAATCTTGACTTACAGGTTCATTGGTTTATGGTTAGAGTTTTAAAGCTGAGGGTGATGAATAACTCTCCAGTGTTTATTTTATTATTCTGATAATTAGTTGAAGACGGGTGGCATGAGTTGTGAACAGGCTTTCATAGAGCCAAAGAACATAGTATGGTGGATCACTTTAGGAAGGGGGGGTTGCAGGGTACTGAAAAATTGCACTCTTCAGAATGTTTCCATTTTTTTTTTCAGAACATTGTCGCATTGTTCTCGATTCTCAATTTATGATGTAGATTTTATCATTTGGTTCTTAAAGAGGTGGTATTTTTTCAGGAAAAAAATCAAGCCATTTTGAATGTCTTTTTGTTGCTGGAAATGTTCAGAACTTGTTACTTACCCATGTTCTCATTTAAAACAAAACAGTGCCTATATAAAGTATTCACCCCCTCTTGGACCTTTCCATGTTTTATTGTTTTGCAACGTTGCACCAAATAGAAAGTAATAAGGCTTTGATACTTATTAACAGACAATTACTATTTAAAGGAATCCTGCAACATTTAGGTGAAAGTTAATGTAGCTTTAATGTGCTTTCTAAATGAGAGCAAACCTGACCAAACTCCCGCTGTGGTGTGACATTTCAACGCAGAACGGAAACAGTCATTTGTCATCTGACCTTCAGTGAGGCGGCAACAAGCTATGGGAATTTTCCCATAATGAGTTTTCCGGTATTGTCACAAGGAAAACAAATCTCTACAGATTTATCTAAATTAAATGCAAGATTAAACAAAAAGATTACACAATTATTCACCCTCTTAAATATTTAGTAGAAGCACTTTTTGGCAGCAGTTACAGCCTTGAGTCCATGTAAATCAGTCTCTCTGCTTCCCCCCTCGTTTCTTTTTGCAAAACTGCCCAATCATGGTGTATAAGGTATAAGTGTGCAGCAGTTTCAAGTCCTGTCACAAAATCTCTATAGGATTTATTTTGAACCCACTAATGCTGTGCTTCTAGCACCAACACCACATGCTCTGAGCAGATTTGGAGCTTTTTTACTTTTATTTTTTTTATGATTGGCTTTACTGTGCTCTTTGGGCAACTGTCCTTGAAAATGTTCTTGTATCCCTCCCCTGAGTGAAAGTTTTCAGTGAAGTTGTTTCTATTTATTCAGAGTGTTCCTTTTATCTTAATCGTGAGGCTTTTATTAAAAGGTACAGATACAGGTGTAGTTACTGGTCACCCTCTTAATTAAAAATCTGGCTTAATCTCCATTCAACATCCATGAAATATGAAAACATTTACTTGTACCAGTCAATCCTTATGTAATCAGTTGTTTTTGTTTTGTTTTAGGGCTTAATTTAGCCTAATCTGTGTCTGTTTTCACTTTGACATTAAAAAGTGTCCAAAAAAAGCCTGATTACATTCATGATGCTTCAGAGTTTAAAACATTGGAAGGGGCCATGGGAAGTGAATACTTTTGATAGGCACTGTAGGATCCATTGCCATGCGTCTGTCATTGAAAGGTGTCATTTATCAAACGTAACTGACATGTACACAAATCCATCAGTCTGAAACAATTCTGTTTGACTGAGCAGTTTGTTCTGGCCTGACCGTAATAAACAGTGTTTATTGTTTAACCAGAGCAGTTTGTCATTGAAGGGATAACACTTGTTTCCCACCTATAGATCTCAAACTGACGGCGTTTTTAAAGAATATGTCACGCGGGTGGTGTATTGTTTAATTTACGGTTTATTTGAATTGTTAATAGGTTTGTTTTAATTGTGTTTTGATCCATCTGGAATCATTCGTGGATGATTGAACTGAATGGTTTTCATCGTGTGTTTTTTTTTTCTCGAGTTTGTTTAGAAACGTTAATGGTATTGACTGTAATCCAAGTGGGTTGTAGTCAGATGCTTATCCCAAAAAAGTGTGCACTTAACGTAAATCTGTCCCTCTGTGTGAGTTTGTGTGCAATATATGCACAGAACTGTGTATATATGAGGGTGTGAGTGTGTGTTTCTTTGCTTTAATGTGTGCTGTTTTTACTGTTTTGTTGCATACCATGATGTGACTGCAGTGTGCATGTATGTGCCTGTGTAGGGACATCATACCAACACCATGAATGTAGATATTGTTAAATCTTTTTAATGTTTTTTTTTTCCAAAGGTCTTTAGTAATGTTTTGCTGTCATGTCATTGATTAACTGAAAACAGACTGATAAGATTTCCATGACATGTCATTTTGGGTCCACTGACAGATGAGTACATGGCAACTATTAACGATCTGTTAGTAATGGACTGATTTTGATCATTATGAATCTCATTACTGTCTGAAACAAAACCAGCGTGGACTATTTAAATGATTTTGGGGAGGGAAAAGGAACGTGGTTGCTGATACTGATCGAGGGGAGTTTGTAAAAGGGATTTGGGGAACTGAGTTGCCAGAGAAATTGGGCTTCAAATATGTTGTAATTTTTTCTGTAAATACTGTTTGTTTTTTTTGTATTGAGTGCTTATTGTTTTGTTAGTGCGTTAAGTTGGCAAAACCCTCATCTGTGACTTCCGAGGCCAGTGAGTTTTTCACTCACGGTGGGGGGAAGTTTTTGGTTTAATTCACCTGTTTTAATTGTTTCTTCACTTCCTTATGTTGGTTTATAGAGATATCTAAGACAGCAAAGCTTTACAGGTTTGTACTGCTGATCATTTGACAAAAATTGATGTTTTCTATAGCTGAGGGTGTTCTTATGTCCTTGTAGTAAGTCTTTGGGCAAATAAAAAATGATCTTTAACAGTTCGAAGTGTGTATCCTGTTTCAATCTTATACCAGCAGGCAGAATATGGATCAGTACAGCGATAGCCAAAAGTTTGAGGACAACCCTGCTGTTGTATTTTTGGTCAGCAGCTGTTTTTCTTGGTTTGGGCTAGGCCCCTTAGTTCCAGTGAAGGGAAATCATACTGCTACATCATAAAATGTTTAAAATATTTTAGACAATACTGTGCTTTGGAGTTTTTGTCCAGTCTTTTATCAAGCACAGAGGATGAAATTTCACTAGTTCCAGGGTCGGAAATGTTAAGATTTGCAGCTATTTTCACATGTTAAATGATTAAAAACTGAATGGCTTTTGGCCTTTCATTGTTCAATCGACATACAAAAAGTTGTCACCTTACTGGGCATTTTTCACTATTTCTGATATTTTATAGACCAAATGTTTAATAAATGAATTGAGAAAACCAATTAATCCATTATAAATATAATCATAGTTGCAGTCATAGTGTGCTTATTGCCTTTTTTCATGGCCACATTAACATGTAAATTGAGCAGAATTATTGTGTTGCAAACTCAGAATAATAAAGCACAAACCAGTTGACACACAGGGGCTCTAGAAGGTCTGGGGGCCCTGGAGCAGTTGCCCGGTTGGTTATCCAGCCTTGAAAGTTTTTGATATCCAACACTATTTGACATGAACTGGAGCAACAACTGTTGAGTCAAACCCCTGCAGGTTCCTACATCTTGTGGAAAGCCTTTACAGAAGAGTGGAGGATGTTTTGGAACAAGATGTGAAACAATCTTATATGAATGTAATGTTTAGGTGTCCACATACTTTTGTCCATATAGTGCGCAATTTTTGATACCGATGACCTCATTCAACCGCTCAGGCACGACTAAGTGATCACAGATAATAAACGTTCATGTTCTTAAATGATGTCTTGAGTGGGTGGTAAAAGTCCCCGGCTTGCGTTAAAGCGTCAAACTTGACCGTAATAGCGGAAGCACGCTGCTGTACCGTCAAAATAAAAGTCATCACTAACTGCGTCACACAAATATCCTAGTAACCTGCAGCTTTTAGTGGCTGATCTATGGAGATTTTGGCTAAATATAGAACAAGGCTAACAGATTGATATCTGATACCATGTGTGTAGGATGCTTTTTGGTAACATTTTTTGAAAATGTGTGGTAATGGCATAGACAAAATACATAAACATCCTTTAAAGCAAAATCAGTACAATAAGGATGGCCTCAAATCAGTACTTTCCTGGCACAGTTTTTAAATAGTGTGCACTTGAACAGTGGTGGAAGAATTAAAAGTCAAATAATTTGGCCTGCAACTGAAAGTCCTGACTGAAAATAACCCAATAATGTAACATATGATTAGATTATATTTATTGCATTATTATTACATAATGTGATTACTGGTGCTTTGAAGTTACGGGTAGTCCAAGTGGAGCTGCACTGTTTAGCAGTTCACTCTGTTGCAATGTAATTTTTTATAAACTGATCATGTGCTTTATATGTAAAACCAATAGCAAAATAACCAGCATAGCAGACAAACAAATGACAATGCTTGCCACTGAAATGTTGTTTATTAGAAGTATTTAATGAAAATACTACTTGAGAAAATTAACTTACTTGTATTCCACCACTTGATCAGTGGAATTACATTTACTCAATAAGTATATTTAAGTATAATTTTGATGCATTTGTATTTTACTTGATGATCCATTTTATATTACTTTATACTTCTACTCCACTACATTTCAGAAGGAAATACTGTACATTTTACACCATTACATTTATCTGACAGCTACAGTTTTCTAGTCACTTTTAAGATTCAGATTTTACAAACAAAACATATGATCAGTCTATATGATATGATAATTATGGATTAAACTACACCACCTTCACCAGCTGTAATATTAAAATGCTGCTTGTGTGTTAATACATCAGTAATAATATTTAAATAAACATCATTGGCCGGATTTAAAACAATGTTGAGATTTCAAATCGGAATGAAGTCGATGATCTTGCAGAGTCGTGCCCAGAGAACAACCTACTTCTCGACATCAGCAAAACCAAGGAGCTGATCGTTCCTGGGAATCAGCATCACAGAGAACCTGACATGGTCATCCCACACCTCCACGCTGGTGAAGAAAGGTTAGAAAAGGTTGTATTTCTTAAGGAAGCTTAAGAAGACTAAATTCCTGTGCCAAGTTCTCGTCAACTTTTACAGAGGAGCAATAGAAAGTATCCTGACTAGAAACATCACTGCCATGGGATGGGCACGGCCCAGGACCGGATGGCTCTGCAGCAGGTGATTAAAACTGCTCAGAAGATCATATTGGTGAGGTGCCTAGCCCAAAGGATTTTTTAAATTAGCCCAAAGGACATTAAAGAACAGTACCCACCCCAGTCACACAGGCCTGTTCACCCTCCTGCCGGCTGTGAAAAGATATAGAAGTTTCTGCCGTTGCACCACAAGATTGCAGAGCAAATTCATCCTCAGCACTGCTCCCTAGTTTGTTTTTTGTTTATTATTCCATGGTTGTTTTTGTATACCATATTTTTATAAGCTGCTATGTAGCAGTAGGGCGTTACAAATCACATTTCACTTTGCAACCTGTTGTAATGTGACCATTAAACCTAGTTGTACCCTGAAATATGATATAGATCAGTGAATGGAAGTGAAACAATATTAAATTATTTATCACAAGAATTCCACATAGACGATGGATGGATGGATGGATGGATGGATGGAAGTCCACATGGAATAGCCTACGTGTGTGATTTGGTTAAATACAGTAGTATTCAATGCCTCAGACCTTTATTTAATGTATTTGGTGTGGTCTAATGTTATGTCAAATAGCAATATTAGTTATCTTGAGTGTGTGTGGGGTCAAATAACATAACCACGATCTCATATGCATCCAGGAGTTGAGCAAAACTAAGCAAGTAAAGTAAGGGTGGGTCTGAGGGAAGGCCCACAGTCTCAGACTTTTAAAACCCCTGATTTAGGTGATTATATTACACTGTCAAAGGGGTCATAGCCCAGCAAGTACATTTGAAACATTAGGTACATTTTGATCTAGTTTTACTTAAAAGTGCATGTTACTTAAGTAAAATATATGAGTACTTCTTCCACCACTGGTAGTGCTTTTCATGAGAAACACATCGACTTCGGAAGGAAGGCTTTTATTTTTAAGGTTGAAACCGGAAGTCCGTGGTTTTGTTTTCATGTTTGGTCCTCCGCCGTTGGCCTCCTCGGTGTCAAGCAAACGGGTTTGTATCGTTAATTTACTCGACACCTGCGACCACAAACCATTTAAACGAGGATTTAGTTTTACCGACGACAAAAGGATGGGCGTAGCGGAACACCTGGCTTCTTGTTAACGCATTTTGCGCGGACTGACACGGTGATGTTGCCTCCATCTGATAAACTGGTTCAGGTTGAGTTTTCTGTGTGACAGGGTAAGAGGAAACAGTTTTCGCTGATATTAAAAACACAACATCATTAGGCTACATTGTATCGCAGTATTTGGCATCAGTGTGCATCAGACGCCTTTTCTTCATGTCAAATTAACTGATACCAGGACTAGCTAGTACATGCTAACACTTTAAAGTGATGTTATTTGACGTTTAAACAGTGTTGAGTTTGCTAACAACTGTCATTACCTGCATTTATATTGTCGCTGTATTTGTTTTCCAATAAACGTTAGCAAGACGTCGGCGAGGCTGTTTAGATGGGTGTCTTATGTTTATAAATGAGCTATTATTGCAGTGTTTATAGTATAAATAAAGACGCATCTTGCCTCAGTTAACCACACCTGACGCATTAATAAATAGAAACCCTAACAACATTTGGTGTTTCTGGTATTAAATAAATGTTAATCTTGATATTACTGTAACTAATATGTCCAGGTTTGGGTTTTGAAGGGAATGTATGTTTCCTGCAGTGTTTTATTTTAGAAAAACGCATGACCTCACCTGTTAATTTAATGTGTTTTCTTCTCTTCAACAGAATGAATACATATCTGCAACAAGCGTTGATAGCTATTTTAAAAGTAAGTATTATGCAGTTTCAGTCAAAAACTGCACCCTAGCTGACAGATTGGTATTGTCATTCTTTTAATCTGTTGACCATGCTGACCTTTTTCTGTCAATATCCTCAGGTCAGCATCTCATTGCCTTGCTATCAAGATTTCCCATACAGATTTTCAAATGAAAATGGAGGATATGCCCCTGTCAGGCCCAGACAACACCAAGCTGGAGGTGAGTGAATGTATATAATTTGTATTTCTTCCTTTAACTGTCACCGATAGACAGATGTTATGTCTTTCATATGTTTTTATCTGGCATCCAGTGTGTATTTGGCTTTAAGTTATCTTGACATGTTTCTTGTAATAGGCCTTGGTCCATGACATCTACTCTGAGCTGGTGGAAGATGCCTGTTTGGGCCTGTGTTTTGAGGTACATCGTGCTGTGAAACAGGGCTATTTCTTCTTGGATGAAACAGACCAAGACAGCATGAAGGAATTTGGTTGGTGCCATGGTTTCTAGTTTGTTCTGGGGCATTTGCCTTTCTAATTTCTTTGGTGTGTGTTGCCTACACAGTATGTCCCTTTTATTTAAAATTATATTTCCAGAAATTGTCGATCAGCCAGGAGTGGATATATTTGGCCAAGTGTACAATCAGTGGAAAAACAAAGAGTGTGAATGCCCGAACTGCAAAAGATTAATAGCCGCTTCTCGCTTTGCCCCGCACTTGGAGAAATGTCTTGGCATGGGACGCAACAGCAGTCGCATCGCCAACCGCAGGTCGGTCAGTGAAGGTGATTCAGGACTGACATCTCGTATTAATCCAAAATGGGTATGAACATATGATCAGTTTTTTGTTTTGATTTTTTTACACTTTAACAGGCTAGCCAGCAATAATAACATGAGCAAATCAGAGAGTGATCAGGAAGACAACGATGACCTTAATGATAATGACTGGTCGTATGGGGCAGAAAAAAAAGGTG